TTAGGGTCGCTATTGTTGAAAACACTACTCCAATTACAATTGTTTAATTCTACACTAAATTGTTTTTTAGTTTGCGCATTTATCATGCGCCTAGTTAGGTGCATAGGGTTGTTATCAGCATGAACGTGTTGATTTATTAATGAAAATATTGGAAGATGATCCGAGATGTCTGTAAAAAATATACCATTTAGAGAATCATTACTTTGCATAAGAGAGTTAGTGAAAATATTATCAATAGAAGTCACTATTTAGAGAAGTTAGACTGACACCTCTTAGTCAACCTGTGTAAGAATTTCTAATTAATAGTTGTTAATTTGGAAATAAATAAATTTAATTGACGCCGGAAAGTAAACAATGTGTTTTAATATAAAACTGAAGTTTCATTGTTGCTGTCGGCCTACGGTGATTGATAGTGTTTCATATAATATTGTATTTAGCATATTATAAACTTAAGACGATCTTTAAAAAGCGTTACGTACTAAGGCTTTTATGGACAATGATTGAATGGACAGAGAAGAAGCCAAGGAACTTCACGGGTGATGCGCAAAAACTAGACTCATTTTAAATAGTTTAGCTTTTTAATTCACCCCTCCCTCCGCTGAATCAATACATTTTTTAGTCKAGTTCTCTCAAAACTGAAATTTTGCTTGATTGGGGAGGTGCACGCTGACGATAAACCTCCTCCTTTTGCATTCTGCAATTATCAAATGATCTTGTTCAGTTTCTATCATTCAACTAAACTTGACGGTGAAATGGCTGGAGAAGACTCGAGTTTCACCCGAATAATTGGCCTCGATCTTCCAATTTCTTTCCATTTAATTTATTCGCCATGTTTGGTACCAAAATAAACCTTAGAAACGCGGCTGGAACTGCTTTAATTTTGGCGGTTTTTGCATTCTGCAATTATCAAATGATCTTGTTCAGTTTCTATATCATTCAATTTAATGATTCACTAACTAATTTCTGTTGCGGTAATGTACAGCAAGCTTTCTCAGTGCTACAAATGTTTATCCAGTTTCTACGTTGATATGTAATTCTTGAGGTTAGACACCGCACGACGATCTCTATCAAAAGCTTCGAGTTTTAAGTTCTGCCGTTTTGCATGTTTACATTTCGTTCTCATGGCTCATGGTGTTTATAACGTAACTTCTTTAGCATTATGCAATTACTTCGTTAACAGTTTTATCATGTTCTTGAATATCAACATCGTTAATCTCACTCTTCTGCATTGCTTGACAAACACGTCACTGGTTATATTTTAGACATGTTGCTCTTCTTCGTCATTGGAATATCTTCTTCTTCTTCTTCTCCCCTCAGGCTCTAATAGCGGATTATTTGCCATTTGTCGCAGTTCCATTGAGTTTCTTCTGTTCTCGTTTCTGTCGGTTTTTCTACACAGTACCTTCCTTGCTCCTTCTCGAAAGTCAGACAGAAATATGATATAAATAAACGGACTGAAACAACTGTTGAAAAGAGGGAAGATTGTACCTATGATAAACCTAAGTGACTTGAAGTCAATACAGTTTGTGTGAATCCATGTACTACCCCAACGATCCACTAAAACACTATCCAGAATGAACAATGGAAGCCAACAACACGTATACAGCATTACGGATGCATGAACCATTCGTACTGCTGCTTGTGTTCGACGAGCTCTAGCTTCTCTTTGTTCTTGGTTGAGATGGGCGTGGATGGCAATAGGTCTGGACAGTCGTCTTATTGTTAAAATACTAAGTGCGTATATTACAATCGTAAAAATAATTTTCAAATAAAAAGAGATCAAAGTAAAGTTATAATAGACTTTATACTCCATAGAAATACAATGCCCCCATTCTGACAAAATACGGTAATACAAACTGTAAGACTGCAATGTCATAGGAATCAACCAGGAGATACCGAYTACTGCAACGCGTTGTCTTAATGTGTAAGCACGTGACCTTTGAAATGTTCTTCTTGTTGCTCTGAATCGTTCGATGCTGATTATCAAAAGGGTAACAAAGGAGACTCTATATGAGACTTGGCCAAGAAAACCCATTGTCTTGCAGAGAATATCACCAAGGATACCATCAGGATATGTTAACAATACGTTATCTATCAGCCTTATAAGAATGAAGAGAGAATCTGACACGGCCATGTTGATGATCAAATGATGCAGGTTCTTGCGTACTGTGWATTTCABAGCGAGTACTATGACAAAGATGTTTCCTGCAAGTCCCAATGTCACCAACAGTATCACAGTGATGCGTTTTGCATTATACTCTAGCTGTGTGTCAGGTTCCCAGTACTTACAATAATATCCTGGGATGTTGTTAATAGCGGCGTTGTTTAAGATCAGTGAAGAGTTATTCATCTTAATGTAGCTCTTGCGTCTGGCTCTATTGGCGAAGCAAAAAAACTGTTTCTGCACTTCAGTTGCCGTTGGCTTATTTGTATCTTACCAAGAAGACGAAGTGTTGGTGATTAAAACAAGTTACCAATAAATGCAGCCGTGTGGTTGTTTTAAAGCTTTTGTGGTCACGAATAGTAACTACTCACTGTTTGGCTTTTTACGTTCTAATTCGATCTTTCAGAAGTTTTGAGCTGTGTGAAAATAAGAGAACAGAATTACATTTAATTGTCCTACATGGGTCCTACATGGAGGAAGGTGGGGGGAGGGGAGAATTTCGATCAGTGCATTACGACTTCACTACGGACAAAGTGTGTAATTCATTAAAAATTCAGTTTTTGATCACGTGATTTTACGCGCATGCGCAGAAGGACTCACAGTGCTCTTGTATCTTAGCAACGGTAACGCGCAACAAAACACAGCTGACAAATCGATTGAGGAAGTTTTTGAAGTTTTTCGTTTCAAAAAGTAAGATCATCAGAGCCAGCATTTAAAATTGAAAGAAAATGCTACACAGTGATATAAGTTTTAAAGGATTTAGCCGTATTAGAGATCTWGCATAGTAATTTCGCTTCAACTTAAATCGAAGAAGACCAACAAGACGCGATCGCGAAGCACCAGTGAAAGATTCGATAAAACAGCGCTATGAAACAGATGGGATGACAAAACAAATCTTATTTTAGCTAATTATAGATATAACTACTATCTATTTGACTACAATGATCCGTACGTCTGCATATTGTTGTTTAGTAACGGCGCTAATTTATGCGATACCCCACTTGAGTGGGGTAAGTCAGAGTTACACACTTTGTCCGTGTCGATGTCGTCATGAAACAGTTTTAGGCCTTTTTGAGTCAATTATCGGTTTTTAATGCTATTCGTGAGGCTGTATATCTTATATTTTCCTGACATTGCGAATTCAAAGTATTTATGGATAAGAGCCTTGTGTGATTGTCAACAAGTAGCTTCAAAATCCCTTTCCCAGGATAAAATTCGTACAAGAACAGTAATATAAAAGAACAGAACCCGTTGGCTCACTTTGCACTATTTACTACAAAATATTGCTAATTAAACAATAGAAAACAATAGAATTAGCATAATTTAAGAAATATAAAACGACGCACGTGTCTCTGTCCTCTGATATAAACACGGTGGGAGTTCGAAAAACACGAGCTAGAGAAGGAAGGCTTAGGAACACGAGCGTAGCGAGTGTTTCTTTTGCTTCTCGAGTGTTTTTCAACTCTGGGTGATTGATTTGCGACCAGGCATGCATATGAATTCGCCAAGGTTGTAAGCCAGTGAGCCCGTGCATTTTTGTTAAGCGGTCATATTTGAAAGTTTAATAAAGATAAGGGAAAACCCGCATCTCGCCTTTCACTCAGACAAACAGTAAAAGTCGTGTTAAATTTATTTACATAACTAAACAAAATGATTATAGAGTTAAACCTTTAAGAATTGAATGCTCATGCATGTGAAACATTTTCCACCTTAAATACACACGTGAAGGGAATTTAGTCGAACTTTTTTCACGATGGAATTTTGTTTTGAGTCGTTTCGACATAAACAGTCGCTATCAAGACATCACACGAAAAACCCCAGTCACCGTTCTAGCTCTCGTTGTAAGTTCATAGCTAGTAAATGTGTAACTGACCTGGTGCGGCTTATTGCCGAAAATGCGACACAGGATGAACTATATACGACAGTTGTCAGTGTACCAAAAATAACAAACGTTTTAACTCTATTGGAATACGTGGACCTAAGCTGCTTTACCTCTTCCAGTGATGTTGTAGATACCTCAAAGCTTAGAGGAAACAGCTAAGAAAAAGAATTTGCAACGGCTCCTCCTAAGATACTTTGGACTTGAACGTCGGTTCAACGACCCTCTGAAGTCTTCGTGTAGTCCGCCATTGCTTCACATGCAATGGAGAACCCGCATAGAACACAGACCAATTATTTTTATCAGGGAGGGGAGTCTCTTGGTATTAAAGAAAAAAATATTTGTTATTTCATTCTTAAGATAAAATTCTATTTCTATAACGATAAATATTTGATTGACATTTAAAAGCTATTTTATAAAGATTTTTCATTTCTCTTTGCGTTTTAGCTTCGATTTTAAGGATAGAATAAAATGACAGGCAGCCTACTCCACTGGGTCGAGTTTTGCTGTGCAAATTCCTCCCGTCGGGGGGTTATGTTTACAACATAAGCTTGTCAGCTTTGTGCTGATTGGCTAGTCGCATTTTCTCAAATCACCCAGCTCCCACCGTGTTTATATCAGAGGACACAGAAACAAGCGGCCGCTTTATATTTCTTTTATAAAATTTTTCGAGCGAAAAGCAAATTTTGCCGGTAAGCCGTGTCTCTGTCCTCTGATATAAACAAGGTCGTCAGCCAATCAAAGCGCGCGCTATATATCGAAAATTTAATAATTAGCAATATTTAGCGGTATATTTATGTTGCAAAGTTTTAGTTTGGCCGTTCTCAAGCTTAATATTTTAAATTTGTATCTAATTCAGTATCATCGACCTGGCAATTCTCTTTTGAGAATCATTTCTTTTAAATGAATGTTTTCTGCTATTTCTATTTTGGTCCCAAAGTAGTCATCACAATTATTATTTTACACCTGTTTATCAAAAAATGGCGGGAAATCATGGATCTAAAACCTCCTAAACGAAATCCATAAATAGTCAGTACTAATCTTTGAGGCGTCCAATTTCTTATCAAAAGTATTTACTGATATATTTAACGTATCTATGAAACTATCACGTAGTTTGTTGCTCAATCTTATTTAGCGAAACGGCATATAGGGCAATAATATTTTGCATTATTAAACTCATTAATATTCATAAGGCAAAACACAATAGAAATCATAGCCCATGAAGAAAGTTGTATATTACATACAGATTTCT